GCCAGCCTTCTCCTTGGTCCCGTACCTTTGTTGTCCCTCTCTGGTCAGCCCTTTATTCTGCCCTCGCTCTCTCACTCATAGACAGCCCTGAACTATTTTCCAGGCCCCACAAAGAGGGTGCTCTTCTTAATCCCTCTTCAGTATCCACCCCGAGGAAACTGGACTGCTGCTGCTGCTGCTTGTTGAGGTCCAAAAAAATGCCCCGCTCCCAGCCTGCCCAAGAGGAGGCTACTCTACTCCTGGCATTCAGTCTTGTGTGGCCCACTCTTGGGATATTTTGTTTGTGCTCAAACAAATAAAGCTTGCCTGAAGATGAGTGTGCAGAGCTAAGCCAATAGTTAGTCATAGAGGTCAGGCAGTGTTGGCGCACACCTTTAATCCCAGCACTCAGGAGGTGGAGGTAGATGGATCTCTGTGAGTTCAAGGCCACCCTGGGCTACACAAGATCTATCCAGTCTAAAAGAGAATCAGAGCCAGGCAGTGGTGGCTCACACCTTTAATCCCAATATTTGGGAGTCACATGCCTTTAATCCCAACACTAGGGAGGTGGAGACAGGAAGAGATATAGCTGGGTGAAGAGAGGAATATAAGGTGGGAGAAGACAGGATCTCAAGGCTTTCAGTCTGAGGACTTGTAGAGACAGGATACCCCATTCAGTCTGAGGATTTCATAGAGGTAAGAATTAGTAGCTGGCTGCTCTGCTTCTCTGATCTTTCAGCTTTCACGCCCTAATATCAGACTCCAGGTTTTTGTTATTAAGATCAATTAGAATTCGTGCTACACACTCGGACACTTACCTACCAAAACTTCAGCCACTTCAGCAGGCCAGGTTGTGCCCGGGAAGCCTGTAGGACAAGGGGAATAGCTGAGCAGACATCACACTGTTACCTCCACCCTCAGCAACCTCGGGCACCCTGTTCTCCAGCTGCATCTCCTCAAGCCCCCATACTCACCGAGGACGATGGTGTGACTGCCCCCTGGAAAAGAGACGATCGAAGGAGGTGACTCAGGGTCATGGCAACCCTCATTAGGCTCTGCCTTGGCCTCAGGTTCCCCAAGGGCCCCCTCACCACACCCCACACATACACGTGCGCACACGCGTACAAGTCAACATTTTCAGCTAAGTCCTTCAGGTTGGCTGTGGATACTCATTCTATGGGTTCCCCCCACCCCAGCATGTGTTTAATCCAGGATGATACTGAATAATGGTTGCCAAACACCACACAACACAATGGAGAAGCAGAAGATCTCCCCTGTCCATGGGATGGTGGAAGTCAACCTTAGACAGAGGCCAGAGAGCCTCATACATACTAGGCAAGTGTCCTACGGCTGAGCTACGTCCCTAGCCCTTTTTTGATCCTTATATTTTGAGACAGACTCTCTCCAAGTTGTCCAGGCTAGATGTGAACTCTGGAATCCTCCTGCCTCAGTCACCATCCCCACCCCAATCCAGGTCACTGGGATGTTTGGTCGCCAGGCTAAGAGTTTCTCTAATCTTCAAAGCAGGTTCTTTGGCCAGGGCTTTCACTGCTCTGAAAAATGGAAGGAAGTCCCTGGCCTGGCTTTTCTTTGAGAGCCTAATTAGAGTCTACGTAGTCACTCTCCGATAGTATAATGTCACCTTGCTTGTTTCCTGAATGGTTGGCTGGTTGGCTGCATTGCTAGGAATTGAGCCCAGGGCCTTTCCTCTGCTCGATGGGCACTCTACTGTGGAGCCACACCCCGAACTCCTAAGACTGCCTTCTGGTTTCTTGTTTATTTTGTATATATATGTATATGGGCCAGAGTGCACATGTGGAGGTCAGAGGGCAGCGTGGAAGAGTCCGCCCTCTCCTTTCACCGTGTGCATCCAGGGGACTGATCACAGGTTGTGAGGCTTAGCAGCAAGCCTCTTTACTAGCTGAGCCAGTTCATGGGCCCCTAAGTCTGCCTTGTCTGCAACTATGCAAAACAAGCCTCTCAAGTGTCCCTTCCCCACGTTATTATTATTATCATTGTTATTATTATTATTATTTCCTTTGAGGCAAGAAGAAATCAGTTTCCCACCAACCAAGTTGTCCCTAAACTTGGCTTGTAGGATGTGCTGGGCTACTTTCCTCTGCCCCAGCTGCTGTCCCACAAAGGACAGGAAAGCCACACACAAAGCAAGTCTGTGTGTTTGGCCTGGCGCCTGTAATCTGTCCATCGGGAAGCATCTCGTTGCCCAGGTTTCGCCGGTGCACCGACTTCCAATCTACTCTCAGGGCAGGGCAGGGAGATGCGCTGGAATCTCCCTCATAAAGTGATGTAATGGAGGAAGGAAGCAAGTCTCTCTGTGCTCCAAGAAGACACAGAGATAGATGAACGGACGGACAGACAGACAGAGAGCAACGCTTTTTCAAGACTCACCTTGGCAGTGGTGGCCTTGGTATAGTATTGCCAGTTATAAGTAGGATTCCCCTGTGGGTTATTGTAGTAGTTCTGGGGAAAACAAGAAATGCATGGGGTTCAGAGGAGAAGGGACGATGGCATCCCATTGTGTACTAAACACCCCACTTCTTTACCCAGACAGCAGGTTTCTTAGAAGCCCACCCTGTGGTGACTTCTTGTAATGTGGGCTTTCTTTCACATTACCACACAAAGCCAACTGGACCCCACTCCATCGGGTCATTCCTCCCCCTCCCTGGTCCCTGTCCCAGCTCCTCAAGTGTGATATGGGAGGTGAGAGTCGAAGACCAGGAGAAAGGGTGGTGTCTATGCCAGGGGGTCAGAGGAGGAGATAGCTTGCCTTGGATGTGACAGCTGACAGCTCTTGTCTTGCTGCTTCAGGCTGAGAAAAGTATCAGGTGGGAGAGGGCAAAAGAGAGAATTTCAGATTAGCCAGCCTTGGGAATGGGGCTGAGAGACCCAGGGCTTTCCAGAAGCCTGTGGACAGAGAGACTCACCTGCTCGGCGCCACCTGCCCTCTTCTGCAACGACGGCAGATCTGGACCCTAAAAAGGAGCCGGAAGCTGTGCTCAGGGGCTCCAAGGTCCTCCAGGCCTTATCAACTTCTAGACATTGTGCTGCCTCCACTCTACTTCCCCCTGGGGCTCTGCCCATCCCACCCTGCTCCTGTAATAGTCCCGGTTAAGTCCAGTAGGACTGGAGGATGCTGATGGCCCAGATAGATAGAGAGCACAGGTGTCCTCACTCAAGGTTGGGGAGCAATGGGTAAGAGCCAAGTTGGGCAACAGCAGCTGCACCCCCACACAGGCTGCATGGTTGGAAGCTTTGAGTGGAGATGGTGCTGGAATAACAAAGGAGATGAACCCACATGTATCCCTCAGCTCCAGCCAGCCGTGTACCTACACTAGACCCCGCTGCTCCCTCTAGGGCTCTTAATCTTGCTATACTAATGTTATTCTACAGGGTGTTCTTGAGGCTCAGTGATTAGGTTAGTTCCCAGGAAAACAGGCAAGGAAGCATTAACAGCAGTCTTCGGTGCACTCCCCACAGCTCCTCAACATCTGGCAGAGGTAATAAGGATCAAAACTACTCCAGGCAGGGGCTCAACCACTGAGCCACACCCCAGCCCCTCACTGGGGGATTCTATGCAGGGACACTGGTCCTACATGTGTGCATAAGGAGCTCAGGCAGCTTCACCTCAGATCTGGTTCTCAAAGGCCACTAGTCATGCAGCATTTAGGTGTGGCTTTCTACAAGACACAATGGACCTGCTCATCCTCCCCAAGACCCAACTGCTAAGGCCTCCTACATCCACCCTGAACGCCTGATTCTCCTCGGCTTCCTCCCCTGTAGCCCTTTGCCATTGCTTGAGAGTGGATCCCAGGTCCTTTCTTCCTCCCCATCTTGGGGATCCCCCTCCACCCACTTGCCCTCGGTACCCACCCAGCTGTGGCTGTCTCCGCACCAGGCCACGCCCAGCAGGATAAGCAGCAGAGCGGAGAAGGTCCCTGACTTCATGGTTCTGCTCTGGTGCAATGAGTCCCAAGCCTCTGGCCCTGGGGTTTTATCCTCAGGAGACCCCTCCCACCCCATTCCTGCTCAGGTGACTCATGGCTTCCCTCTCACTCCTGCTCCACCCAACTCAGGGTTGCATAATCCAAAGAAAGTGGGAAGGGAAGGTGCCCTTCCTCACCACGGACATTGGGAAGCCGACTACCTGTCAAGGGACTGCCAACCCTGAGCCCCTAGAGCTAAGCTACCTCCCCCCACCCCCTTACCTCAATCTGCTTCCAGTTGAAGAAAGGAGTCTTGCGTTTGAAATTCTGAAAGGAGAAGTGGAGATGAGAAAATTCCCCACGGTGCCAGAACTCAGAGGGTAGGAGAGACAACACATCGGGCAGGGTGCCAGGTGGCTGGCTGTAGGACAAGCCAGGTGTGGCTTGGGGGTGGGTGAAGACAAGCATACGGGAAATTGGGGGTGCTTGAGTTTGAGATCGTGTCAGGGATAAAATATAATGAGACGGCCTATCTGAAAGATGAGAAAGGCCCTCAGGTGTGGTGGTGCACACCCTGAACCCTGCACTCAGAAAGCGAGGCAAGAGGATTGCGAGCTCCAAGCTAGCCTGTGTTACACAGTGAATCCAAGGCCAGCCTGGGCTAGCTAGCAAGCTCAAAGCCAGCTAGGGCTACAGCTGAAGAGAGGGAGGGGGAGCCGGGGGTGTCGCTTAGTAGCAGAGTGCTTACTTAGCACACGCAGAGCTCAGTGTTCAATCCCCAACACTGGGGAAACGAAGCAAACACCCCCAAAAGAGACACAATGTTTGCAGTAGGTGAGCTATAGCTGCTTTGAGGGAGATAGATGGGGGGTGGGATCCCTAGGTCTTTGGAAAGTGGGATTTCTCCTACCTCCCAGAGTCTGCGGAAGTAGAGTAAGGCACGAGTGCTGGGAGGCTGGAGGTGGCCCTGTGAACAGAAGATGGGGAACAGGTTAGCAGGGAACCCCCGCCACTGCTCACCTAAAGCCCTGACTCCCGCTCCTGCCTCTTTTCAGCCTTCAAAGAGATGCCTTGTAACTAATGTGTGCAAGGGATTCTGGGAGTCTCTAGGTACACCAGAACCTGGAAGGAGAACAGAGAACAAGAGCGATGGGCTAGAGGTCCAGCTATGTTGTGTGCCTGCCTAGACCTGGCTCTGTCCCTCTCCTGGATACAACACAACTGTCACAAAACCCTCAGGACCCAGGGCTGCCAGTCGCCAACACATCTCCCTACCCCCGCCCCCAGGGCAACACTGGAGGCAAAGAAAGGAACGGAGACCAGCAGTGTGGGACAGCTACGGTTTATTTCCAGGGGGCAGGGTGAGAGTCAGGACTGAGGGAATGGTGGGACTCCCATCCAGCTGGTAGCTCCTCGTCTGGTGGTCATGGTTTGCGAGTGCTCCCTTTGTCCTGAGCGAAGAAATGGGTTCTAAGAGGAAGCTGGGGGAGTGGGTATCTCTGGGGAGCACTGGGCAGGGGAAGGCTAGCAGGGAACACTGCTCTCGGATTCTGCCTGGATCTTTTAAGACACTGTCGTCAGTCCACACAAGTCGGATATCCCCGGTTGGGCTCATGCCCCTCCCCTCGCTCATCCCACTGGCTGAAGTAGGCTGCTCAGCTCTCCCACTGGGGAAGCTGAATGCCCTACCCTGCCCATCTCTGCCTACCCCTTTCTTCTAGACTCACTTGCTGGGAGGCCAGTCCCTGTGAATCCCACCTAGCTAGCTTTCCCCAGATGGGCAAAAATGCTTGGTACAGTGCTAGCCTGTGCCCTGGTCTCCTAGGGGATCATTAGTCCCTCAAGGACCACAGCAAGAAAGCTTGCCCTACTAGAAGCTGATATATATATAGACCCCTCACTGAAGGTACGGTGGTACATGCCTAGAATCCCAGCACTCAGGCAGCTGAGTCAGGAAACGCTAAAGTTTGAGGCAAACCCAGGCTACCTAGTGAGTTCAAGGCTAGCCTGAGCTATATTGGGAGGCTTTGTCTCAAAATTAAATAATAAGGTACAAAAACGGAATTTATTTTGTTCATTTACACTAGAAATGTGTTGCGACCGGGAAATACCCATCTCTCATACCGCTGCCGCATTCCCTCAGACTTCAAACAGGCTTTCCTGAGATGTGGGTAATTCTGTTCCCATTTCACCACTGCCGCTGTCCCATAAAGACCCTAAGTCTTGGGAAAGATGTTTTAGGATAAGGATTAAAATTTCAGCAGCACAAAGAGCCAATCAGGTGACTAGAATGCTTGACAGACAGATCAGAATAGTCACTAGAGAACCCACAGTACAGAGTAGGAGCACCCTGTACCATGGAAAGGGGTCCCAAAGGGGCCAGATCTTTTGAGATGAATCAAGCACCTAAATCATGAAGTGAAGCCATCCAATTTTTAAAGTTTGGCAAGTAATTCGTGTTCTTTTTATTCTTAATGTGCCTTGGTGATTCATGAGAAGGTCACCTGGACCTCTTGGGTGTGTACTGTTGTTTCTTAACAGCCTCCAATTTTCCTGAGTCTGTGTAGCAACCCTGTCATTCCAGCTACTCAGGAAGCTGAGGCAGGAGGAATATGAGTTCAAGGACTGCCTTGACAACTTAGTGAAACTCTGTCTCAAAATAAAAAGTGAAAAAGAATGCTAGAGATGTGGTTCAGTGGTAAAGCCCCTGCCTAGAATCCCCCAATGAGGGGCTGGGGTGTGGCTCAGTGGTAGAGCCCCTGCCTAGAATCCCCCAATGAGGGGCTGGGGTGTGGCTCAGTGCTAGAGCCCCTGCCTAGAATCCCCCAGTGAGGGGCTGGGGCGTGACTCAGTGGTAGAGCCTCTGCCTAGAATTTCCCAGTAAGGGGAAGGGGGCGTGGCTTAGTGGTAGAACACTTGGTCTGGATCTCTTTTGGTCCTGGGTTCAATCCCAAGCACTGAAAAAAATTTATTGTTTAAACTAAAATTAGGGCTGGAGGCATGGCTTAGTGTTTAAGAGTACTTGTTCTTGTAGCGAACAGAGTTCAGATCCCAGCAACTACATCAGGCTGGTTACAACTGCCTGTTAACTCCAGCTCCCAGGGATCCAATGCCCTCTTCTGGCCTCCATGGGTACTGCTTCCCAACACACAGAGACAGACACAAATAACAAAACTGAAAAATTTTAAAAAGTAAACTTAAAAAAAAGAAAAAATAAACTCCAAGTTAGCTTTTTTAAAGTGGCATAACAGGCCCATCTGACACCTGCAGTCCCAGCTTCTGCCTGGAGAATTCGGGTTTCTCTTTGCCCTTCATCCTCTCATTTCCCAACAAGTTATCATGTCGTCAAGTTATCCTGGCCAGGGGCATCCACTGTGAGAGGAATGGGTAGGACAGGGAGAAGGAGAAAAGGTTTCTCTGCCAAGCTGTGAGGCTTACACACGAGCAGGGTCTCTCCCAAGACCTATCATGTATCTGGTTCTCAGCAGCTTGCCCTGTTCATTTTCCTTGTCTCTCTGGGTTTTTTAGTCTACATATGGCTTTGTACATCCATGTGACTCCTCATGCAGCAAATTCCCGAGGATCGTGTCTACTCAGTCTACCTAATCCCTTTTGTGTAGAGCTAGAGATTGAACAGAGAGTTTCACCCGTGCTAGGTAAGCAGCTCTACCCCTGTACTGGGCCATGCACTCAGCCCCTCACTGAGGGATTCTAGGCAGGGGCTCTACCACTGAGCCACATCCCAGCCCCTCACTGGGGGACTCTAGGCAGGGGCTCTAACACTGAGCCACACCCCAGCCTCTCACTGGGGGATTCTAGGCAGGGCTCTACCACTGAGCCACGCCCCAGCCCCTCAGTAGGGAAGACTAGGCAGATGCTCTACCACTGAACCATGCCCCTAACTCCTCACTGGGGGATTCTATGAAGGGATTCCACACTGAGTTTCAACTCAGACCTTCACTGATGGGTTTTAATTTCGAGATATTATCTCCTTAAATTGCCTAAGCAGGTTATGAACTCACTCTGTAGTTCAGGGTGGCCTCAAATTTGCCAGTCCTACCACCCTTTCTTCCCAAATTGCAGGGACTACAAGCCTGCATCTCACAGGTCTAAAGGGGAGACTGAGATTGACGATTCACCTGGTTCTTTAAGCTGAGATATTAAAGACACCCCCCCCCACACACACACTGCTCATTGCCAGTGCCCAATAATTTCTGAGTTCACCCTATCTTCCCAGGTCTCCATGGTCCCCTACTTGTGGACCCATTCAATTTGAGCGTTTGCCTAAACACCTTAACAGTCTTCGTTACTACCCTCTGCCACACAGTGAAGGCATCTAGCTCTCCTCTCTGGTCCTCTGCTCTCATATCAGCGAGGGCGTTGCCTTCAGGCCCTTACCTTGTTTATGGCATCCCAGTTAATAAAAGGCATCTTGGATTTAAAATTCTGCAGGGAAAACAAAAGGAAATAAAACAGTGTTTGTTTTGTTTTGTTTTTGACCAGAAAATGTCAAGGGCTGAGCTGGAGAGATGGCCCCGTGGTTAAGAGCTCAGGATGCTCTCTCCAGAGGTCCTGAGTTCTATTCCCAGCAACCACATGGTGGCTCACAGCCATCTGTAACTCCAGTTCCAGGAAATCTGATGCTCTTTTCTGGCCTCTGCTGACACCGGGTACACATATGTGTGCACACAAACATATGTGCAAGCCAAGCACTCATATGCATGAAATTAAAATGAAATTTAAAGGTTTTAAAGGAGAAGGTCAAGGCCGTGGCTTTTTCTTGGCATGTGGAGGACTGAGGAAGTGGGGTTGCTTCTCCTCAGGGGTGCCGAGCAAGCTTGCAAAACTTACCTCCCAGAAACTGTCAAAGTTGAAAGGCAAGGAAGACGGGTCAGAGTTCTAAGGAATGGACGAGAAATGGCGGGAAGTTAAGAGTCTGCTTTGTGAGCAAGAGGCAGGAGATACGGGCGTCAGGGAGGAACAAGACACAAGGATGCCTGGCCCCCAGTCCCAGCCCAAGGTGGAGTAAGTACGGCCACTCACCAAAGTTTTGAGTCCACTGACAGCTTCATTGCGCCCACTGTCCCCATTGTACCCATGCTCCTGGGAAGCGGAAAGGAAGCAGTGTTCAAGGCTCATGTCCACCTGCCAGACTATTCCAGGCCCGCCCATCTCCTCCACCGGCCCCACATCTCTTCTCTCTCCCACGCCTGAACTCCCAGCTCAGAAATGACTTCACCCACACAGCTGAGCTGATCTCTTGAGACGTGCATTTGCTGTGTAGCCCAGGCTGGCCTTAAACTTGCAGTGATCCACCTGCGTCGCCTCCCAGACTTACAGAAGTGATGGTGATCCACCACCAGGCCTGACTGCCACATTTTCGCCTCCACTTCCTTTTTTTTTTTTTTTTTTGGTTTTTCGAGACAGGGTTTCTCTGTAGAACTAGCTAGCAATTGTAGATCAGGCTGGCCTTGAACTCAGAGATCTGCCTGCCTCTGCCTCCCGAGTGCTGGGATTAAAGGCGTGCGCCACCACCACCCGGCTTGCCTCCACTTTCTTCTGCCCGGTCCCGACAAAGACCAGTGAGAATGATGAGAAACATGTGGCCCCACTGTGTGCCAAGCACCACAGCGTAGGTCATATTGAGATGACTTTATTTCTCCAGAAGTGGCCAACAGTATCAGTTCTGTCTTCTTGTCTGTACCCTGAATCACCTTGGTTTGATTATGGTACAGAAAAGTCTAGAGTTGCTAAGGTAGGTGAGCAGATCAGGGTTCACTAAGAGGTCAATTGACTTGTCCGAAAAAGCATAGATGATGAGTGGTGGACTTGACTTTTAACCCCCACCCTTATACCCAAAGTTCAGCAATTTTCCACTTCTCAACATTTATGTATTAGGTACACTGAAATGAACATATGTGTATGTATATATACACACATATGCATGCATATTCTCTTGACCTCGATGGGTGGGGCAGGAATCACTGGGAATTGAATCTAGGGTTTTACATATGTTGAGCAGGGGCTCTACCACTGAGCCACATCCCCAGTCCCTCACTGGGAGATTCTAGGCAGGGGCTCTACCACTGAGCCACATCCCAGCCCCTCACTGGGGGATTCTAGTCAGGGCTCTACTACTGAGCCACATCCCCAGTCCCTCACTGGGAGATTCTAGGCAGGGGCTCCACCACTGAGCCACACCCCAGCCCCTCACTGGGGGATTCTAGGCAGGGGCTCCACCACTGAGCCACACCCCAGCCCCTCACTGGGGGATTCTAGGCAGGGGCTCTACCACTGAGCCACACCCCAGCCCCTCACTGGGGGATTCTAGGCAGGGGTTCTACTACTGAGCCACACCCTAGTTATCTTTTATTTTTTACAATAGACTCTCTCCAAGTTGCTAGTTCAACTAGCCTTGAACACGCTATAGATTAGGCAGTCCTTAAATTTTTGTCTCTTGGCATTCTGTCCCACTCTCTACTGTCCCTTCTGCTAAGCCACCCCTGACTCACCTGGTAGTCATGGGAGCCCCCAAGGAGACGGCTGCTTTCTCTACTTTCCTAGGGAGACAGACATAAAGCACAGAAGTCAGTTTAAGGAAGGTAGGACAGAGGGGTGCAGGGGTGCCGGGGTGAAGAGAGGAGTGTGGGCAGGGCCTTCCCTCCTGAGACTCCTCCAGATATTGCTCCAACATCTCAGGGGTGGGCCGGTGACTGCTCACTCATGCATACTAATACATCAGTATCTGCTGATATCCATTTCTCCAGAACCCACAGAATTGTGACTAAGTCATCTCCATCTTCCCCTGGCCAGGCTGCTGGACTAAACTGACAGACTAGAAACTCCAGATGGGCTGGTGTCTGCACTGGGCAGAAGGGGGTTGGCCGCTGGTGCCTATACCAGGCAGAGGGGGTGGCCGCTGGTGTCTGTACCAGGCAGAGGGGGTGGCCGCTGGTGTCTGCACCGGGCGGAAAGGGGTGGCCGCTCGTGTCTGCACCAGGCAGAGGGGGTGGCCGCTGGTGTCTGCACCAGGCAGAGGGGGTGGCCGCTCGTGTCTGCACCAGGCAGAGGGGGGTGGCCGCTGGTGACGGCACACATTATGTGTCTATGCTAGTTAGGCACCCCCGGAGTTAGAGATCAGCAGCTCCATTGTCTGTTCCTCGTTCCCACTGAGGACCTGGCCAGAATGTGGGATACCTGCCTTGTTAGTATTACTACCGAAGACTGGTACACGCAAAGTATCTACTCTCAAAAGCTGCCGTCCCCCTGCCCTGATGTCCCCTGAGACCTCTGGGACCTCCCTGTTCTCTGCTAAAGTAACATAAAAGGAAGAAAAGGAGGAAAAAATAAAATTATGTAAGTACTTGTAAATACTAGAGAATAATAGAGACATTTAAAATAATACACCAGGGCTGGAAAGATGGCTCAGTGGTTAAGAGCATTGCCTGTTCTTCCAAAGGTCCTGAGTTCAATTCCCAGCAACCACATGGTGGCTCACAACCATCTGGAATGGGGTCTGGTGCCCTCTTCTGGCCTGCAGGCATACACAGAATAATGTATACATAATAAATAAAAATAAATAAATAAATATTTAAAAAAATAAATAAAAAATAAAATAAAATAATACACCAATGGCAGCGACCCCAGAAACAGCCATGGCGGTGTTGACTCCCTTTGGTATTTGCTGTTTTCTGTTTGTTTTGTTTTTCGGGACAGAGTTTCACTCTAGCCCTGGTTTTCCTGGATCTCACAGTGATCTGCCTGCCTCTGCCTGCCACGTGCTTGTACTAAAGCTGACTCCCTATGTTCTTAAAAGTGATTTAAAAAATAAATCAACTGGGCAGTGGTGGCACATGGCTTTAATCCCAGCGTTTGGAAAGCAGAGAAAAGTGGTTATCGGTGAGTTCAAAGGCAGCCTGGTCTAGAGAGTGGGTTCGAGGACAGTCCGGACAGTTGCATGGAGAAACCCTGTCTCTAAATAAATAAATAATAAAGGAACAAGAGTTAACAAGCTGAAAGAGTTGCTCTTAAAACCTGGGAGCCCAGCTCAAACTCCAGTCCTCATATTTTCTTGGCCAACACCACCAACTCAACCACTATTCCTCTAGCCTTTGACTGGATCTTATCATAACCAACAGAGTTCTGAGCATTTGAGAGGAAATTCTGAAGTTTGCTGCATTACTGGAGAAAATGAGTCAAGGAGATGCTTGTGAGTAACAGTAACAGAAACACGGGAGAAAAAACACTTAACGTGGAAGCCAGAGATGTAAACACTGAAGCCTTCTATCTCTTCCGGCTCAGAAGCTGTAGTACTAATGCACGCAGTGCATCAGAATTTCTTTCAAAGCTCAACTTACCTGGTGTCTCCCCAAAGACAGGTGCAATTTGGCTGCAAAAAGATGTATGTGGAACAGATTGCTGAATGCTCCCTTGCAGGTCCTTGCTGTTTAACTAGATGCTCCAATGTGATGAAAGGAAGGACAGCTTGGCCGGGAAGGACTCTTTTAAATCATGTTCATGAGTTTGAAGAAGGATATTGACAACCACTCCCAAACCAGCATCGTTGCTTCTCAAATCACTTTAATGAGTTTAAAGGCCATAAAGACTCTTTTGTAGTCATTGATCAAGGTGATGTAGCTAAATAGTTGGAATGATTGCCTCTAAATTTAGTCGTACCTTTTTTTTTCCCTGTTCATCTTCAGGGGAAAATCATAACGGAAAGTAGTCATGAGACTTATAACTCATTCTTTAAGTGGCCCTCAAAGCAGTCCTGCAAACTGTCATTGTTTTTCTGTGTCTAAGCATGAAGCCATATAACTATATAGGACAGAATATCATGTTCAGTATCAAGGGTTAAGTTTGATAAAGTGCTCTGACAAAAACATGTCCAGTATATTAACATTTATTACAGTTCTCTCTTGGAATGTCAAATTTATTTCATTTTTCCTTCAGTATGTTCACTCCTTATAGCCATTAAACCAGATTTGTGTTGTACTCTTTTGATTACCATGAATGAAACACTTTTTAAGTAGTGTGCCTAAATTTAAAAAAAAAAACCTGGGAGCCCATAAAAATTAGCACCCTAATATACAGGTTCTTCGGAGAGCTGCCTCTGCTCAGTCTTTCTCGCCTCTCTATCTTCTCCCCATCTCATCCTACCCCTTGCCCAGTGACATCCGCTGCCACCAGGGCCCAGCCCAGCAACCTCAATATCTCCAGGGAACGGATGAGAAACTCAGAGTCCCAGCCCCACACCAGATCTGCTGGCTCAACCTGCACTTTGCACAAGACCTCTAGGTGTGGACAGGAGTGTCACACCTGCTCAGCCAGCATCACTGCAGGCACTGACCCTAGTGCCCAGATTTCCAGAATAGCTAAGGAAGGTGTGTGTGTGCGCTACTAGAGTTCACTGCATTCTGGCCACCGGCCAGGGATGGGATGTTTGAAATGTCTGTCACACCTGTGACTCTGGCACTCAAGAGACAGAGGCAGGAGGATCAAAAGTCTGAAGTTAGCCTGGGCTCGAGTGAGAGAGGGCCTTTCTCAAAAATAAATGAAATCAGACTGGTTTACGCAGGAATTCCTCATAGCCTCGTCTGGATGTAAAGCCAAGCATAAGGTATAGGGTTTGCCATCCGTGTTTAAGGCTGTTTGGGCTACTGTTTAGGGAGTTCAAGGCCAGCCTAAGGAACTTAGTGAGCCCCAGTCTCAAGATAGAAGCTAAAAGAAGCTGGGCTTCGTGGTTTATGCCTGCAATCTCAGCATTTACAAAGCTAAAGCAAAAGGATTGTTCTGTGTTTCAGGCCAGTTGAACCGACCCTGTTAGGGAGGTCTTGTCTAAAAAAGAAAGAAAAGGAAGGAAGGAAGGAAGGAAGGAAGGAAGGAAGGAAGGACAGAAAATGAAGACCAGTTCCAAGGTGGTATATTTGCCTAGAATCCAGCACTGAGGGGCTGGGGAGGGCATGGCTGCTCAGCAGTTCGAGCCCCTGCCCAGAATGCCCCAGTGAAGGGCTGTGGCTCAGTGGTAAAGCGGATGCCTAGCAAGAATAAGGCCCATGGTTCAGTCCCTGGCAGCTCACACATGCATGCGCGCGCACACACGAGGAATGCTGTCAAGTTGTCCACTGTGACTTAGGAGACTTGGGTTTTTAGGGGTCTATGCTTGGGTTCCCTGCAGGGATTGGATGGAGGTGAGCATCAGTAATGATGGCTGAGCAGAGCATGCTCCTGAGGCCACAGCACAGTCACAATAACAAAAGGTTTGTCTCTCACCTGATTCCCAGATCCTCCAGCCGTGCGTGCATCATCCCCTGGGTTGTCACACTGTGGAGGAAAGATTTTTTTCTCAATCTCCCAGTGATCTACAATCTCAGCCCCCATGTCAGCATAGCAATCAGCTTCCCTCGGGAGGCAGCAATGCCCACCACATTCAGCCAAGCCCCATCCCGACTCCTCTTTCAGCATCTGGGTCCACATGCACTCCCTGGCCACTCACCTCAGGTCTGTTCCCACCACCACTTCCACCTCTGCTGCCCGAGGACGAGGACGAGCCAGTTCCCTGCAAGGAAAGAATCCTCATAGTGTCGTGTGCACAAAGGAACCCAGGAGTCCCCAGCCATCTCTCCAGTCTCCATTCTTTCCTCACCTATGGCCAACTGGTTGCTAGAGGCCGAACTTTAGTACAAGAAGAAGGCCAACTATAGCCCAGGGTTTAGAAATACACAGTGCCCTTCGGGGTCTGAGCTGTTAGCTCTCCAACACACACAAACGCACACGCTCACACATGCACACGACTCTAAGAAGCTGCCATTGGAGGGGAGGCTGAAGAGATGACTCAGAGGTTAGGAGCACATATTCTTCCAGAGGACCAGAGTTCAGTTCCCAGTGCCCATGTTGGGTAGCTCACAATCGCCTGGAACTGCAGCTTCAGAGACCCATCAGTCTGGCCTCCATGGGCCCCTGCACACACAAACACGTACCTACATACACATACACACCTCATAAAAATTGTTTTAAAGAACTGCCACTAGGGGGCAGGCTAGAGCCTGCTCTAACCCAACCCTTCTTTATGCACCCCTTCTTAGAACAAAAGGGGAGACTCTAGAGTCCTTACCCTGGAAACTGAATAGCCTTCATCAAAATTAGACGTTTCGATGTCCTGAATGGAGAGAGAGGGTTCTCAGACTGCATGCAAAGCCACCGGTGGCGTCAACTGCGGCTTTATTTATTCATTTATTCATAGCCTTGAACTCATTACGTAGCCATGGATGACCTTAACTCCTGACCCAGCAACCACCCCCAGGGAGCTAGGATGAGAGGAGTGTGTCACCACACTTGGCTCATGTGGGACTGGGGATGGGACCCAGGACTTTGGACATGCTAAGTGAGCACTGTGTATCCACTGAGCGCCTCCTTTGACTGGGACCGTTCTCAGACCCCTAAGGTGTGACATCCCTGTGTGGCCCGAGTTTGGACATCCTGTCTTGGAGCTCATCTCTAAGGTGCCCCTGTGGTTCTCCCACCATCACGTGGGGGCCTGACAGGTGCCGTCTACACCACAGCTGTCCTTAAGTCTCTATGGGTACAACCCATCTCTCCCCACCCCATTCTTCCTGAAGCATCCCAAACAAGTGGGGGCAGACTTGTCTACTTTGTTTGAGATGCAGCCCTGGTTGGCCTCAAACTCACAGCAATCCTCCTGCCTTAGCCTTCCAGGTGCTGGAGAGAACACTATTATCCTACACCCACCTGTCTCCTCCGGCCCCTCACCCTCAGCTCTACTCAGCAAGGAGCAAAGGTTAGACCTGAACCAGAACTCTCCCACCATGGCAGCAGGCACAGGAAAGGAGTAAGTGATGTAGGAAGTCAGTGCCCCTTCGTAAGGAACCCTGTTATTAGGGCTGGGCGGGTGGGGAACCAGGGCTGAAGGAGTCCCAGGGTGACCACTGTCACTGACACCATCCACTCTAGGGCTGTTGACAGAGCCTGGGTCCTCACCATCAGGACCGTCACCTCAAACCAAGGAAGCAACTTACCCGGGACCCAGAACCACTGTTGCCTCTGTTGCCTTGGCCACCATTGCCGTGGCTACCGTTGCCTTGGCCACCGTTGCCATGGCCACCGTTGCCATTGCTGCCACCTTGACTGCTGCTACCATGGCCACCATTGCCACCACCACTGCTGCTTCCCTGTGGGCAGAAGAACAGAGCAACAGGTAAGAACAGGGCCCCTGCACTTGTCCTTGACCCCTTCCTTGGCCTTGCACGACCTCAGCCCACCTAGGAAGCAGTGCATCCCAGCCTCCCCAGTCCTGAACCACAGGCTCCTCTTACCCCATAGTTGCTTTCACGGGAGTCAGATGGTGGGGGGTTGGTACACTGTGAATGGAAGGGGATACCCAAAGGCAGAGTGTCAAAGCCACTCCACAGGCCAGGCCTCTTTGCTACCTATGTCCTGACTTCCTCACCCCCTTCCACTTCCCTCCATCTTCCCTGGCCTGTGACCTCCATCCCTTCCCTCCCCCTCTTCCTTTCCTCTTTGTCCCTCCCCTGTTCTGTCCCATGCTCCCTTCTATCTTACCCCTGAGTTCTGGTTGCTGCCTCTCACTGACCCGTAGCCAGGTTGAGCCACGGCTCCCTGCAGGGAGGGTGAAACCCAGTTTAGAAACCAGAGGATAAGGAGGGGTGGGGAGGGCAGGATCAAGGGATGAATCTGGGTGGTGACTTTACCTGAGCATTGGCCTCATAGTTGAATGACCTGCCATCGCCACCCTGACCCATAGAGCCACCCAGAGAGTTGGTTCCAAAGTTGCCTTGTGAGGCCCAGGGAGTCCCTTGACCACCGGGGTTACCATGGCCTCCTTGAGAGCCAAGAATTCCGTGGCCTCCAGATGTCCCCTGAAAGGACAACACACACATCCTTAGTGTGCCCATCTCTGACACTCACAAGAGAGAGGGAACCAACACAATGGGGAGGGGGGAGAGGAGGGGAAAGAGAGTCTATATGGTAGAAGACTCACGACAGCAAAAGAAACCGTCCCAGGCAGCCACCAAAGAGCCATCTGGTCGCCCTCTGACCCACTTCTCAGGGTTCCTGCCGCAGCCACCCTCAGCCCCATCAGTACTCCCAGCTTCCCGACCACTCACCCAAGACTTGGAGTTGTGGACAGCATCCATCCCGCGTCGAATGACATCCTCAGCCTGTCTGCCAACCTCGTTGCCACTGTTCCCCAGAGATCGTGCTGCTTCCCCAAGCCTGTGGTCGAAAGCATCCCCTCTGGCCCCCCTCAGTGCATAGCCACCTTCCCCTCCATGACCCTGACCAAGGGCATCCTGGATCCCGGAGCTGGCTGCTTCTTTGGCCCCTTGGCCCACAGCCTCTCCAACTCCCTGGCTAACAGCATCTCCCATTTCTTGAGAAGCGCTTGCTCCTATGCCTTCTCCACCATTCTGCAGTGGGCTGGCTGTCCCGCTCCCCAGACACAGGGTCAGCAGGAAACAGGCCAGGGACCCTCTCAGCTTCATCTCTCCCCTGTGGATCTTTGCAGCCCAATGTGGTTCTTGCTCCCTTCTCTCTTCCTCTGTACTATGGAACCTCCTGCCTTTCTTTCTTCCTCTGCTTTTCTGCTCTCCCTCCCTCAGGACCCACAGCCCTTCTCTCTCTTCCCAGACTCCCCTGCTTTCCAGAATCGTCCTTCTTGCCACTGCCCCTTATACTGTAGGTTGGGAGAAGGTAGCAGGGCTGGGCAGCACAAGGTCCCTCCTCCAGTGACTCAGGGCCTACCCGCCGATAGGGTAATGAAGCTTAATTGTGAGTGAGAGCCTGTGTTGAAACAGAGAGCGAGCCGGACATCAGGGAGGGAGGGGGAAGACGAGGATGAGACGGATGCAAAAGTGTTCCAGTTGCCTAACCACAGGAATTTGGGGCACAGGGTGGGGACAGGAGCATCTGAGGAGATAGGTGTTGATGTCTTCTGGAGGTGGCAGGGTGGGGGTACTTAGGAAACAGGAATCACAAGCAGGTGAGACCCCAGGGATATAAGGTCAGGGAAGCAACAACGATAGAGGACCCATCCCAGGTAAGCCAGCAAGATCAGGGGCATGAGGACAGGTAAGAGGTGGCCCTTCTTGGCACCTTCTTAAGTTCAGCAGGCATTCCCTGCTCTCATCTCTCCCCTAGGATGCCTCCCCACCTGCAGGTGACTGACTGTTCTTGCCCAGCCCAGGAGACATTGGGAACTCTGGAACGTCTGTTAAGGTCTGAGGTTCTGAGGACTCTGGTATTGACGGAGTGGAACACCTCTGAGCGGCCAAGCCAGGAAGGGTTTCGGCATCTGTCATGGAGAGCTCAGGGGCACTGGGCGTGGAGCAGGGGAGCTGGGCGGGTCAGCCACCCGCAAGGGAAGAGTAGGCAGGAAAGACCAAGGGAGGGAGCTGACCCAGACACCCATCCTGTTTACCTGGATGGAGGGCCATGTGGATCTGTAAGAGTTCATGGTCACTGTGCTGCTTGCTTGCTACCCGCAGCCTTCCCCAGGGGCCAGGGCAGCTCTAGTGAGGGAGGAGGGTCAGCACAAGATCACCCCCTCGCCCTCAGTCACCGTTCCAGTGGGGAGCCCCAGCATCCTCCCCACATCTCATCCCTGTTTGACAAGTGTGACTGCTTCTCTGTTCCCAGGGGCCCTGGGCCCTCCCACTTGGAACTGTCTTGTATCATCCGGCTTCATCACCTAGTTAGGAGCGGCCAGTTTCCATCTGCCTTTCTCAACGTCTCTCCCCACCCCAACATCCGCACCCCAGCTTGTACCATTCAACACTTCTCTGTGTATAAACACCATTCCTGACTGTCCCCCGCTCCAACCTCCCTGCTCTGCCATTGCTGACACTCAGCTAAAATACTACTAATATTAATAGTAATAATCACAGTTCCAGTTTATCAAAAGCTTTCTATGCACCCAGATTTCTGTGCCGGTTTCTGTATGGTCAGAGTCATCTAACCCAGGAAGACTGCTGTTTTTATTGCCTCCATTTAGAGATGTAGACACTGTGGCTCAGAGTACACAGACGGCCCGCAGCCGAACCAAGAGCCAAGCCCAGACCTGCCTTTGGCAGAGCCTGAGCTCCTAAGCCTTGTCTGTCACTCCAGTGTGTCACACCAAACCTTGTCTAGATGGAATTAATCTTGATTTTTCTCTGGAGCGACGTGGGAAGAGGGGACGCAGGAGGAAGTCTGGGTCCCCGGGATGAGAGACAGAGCCTCTACTGCCTGGGCCCACCGATCCCACTCACAGGGTGGATAGAGGAGGAACTCCAGACAATGCTCACTGTGGTCCCCCTGCCAGGCTTCACGCATCTAGCCCTGCACACCTGCTCTGCCCATCTCCATCAGTGCTTGTCTTCCGTGTCCTAGCCAGCTTACTATCTTCCTTAGACTATCCCGGGAGCCTGGCATGGTGCACACACTTCTGCACTGGGAAAGGTGAGTCAGGAGAACCATGAATTCAAGGCCAGCCCAGGCTGCACAGCAAGACCCTATCTCAAACAAGCAAACAACAAAGAATATAATAAGAAGTATTTTACAGGTTGACAAGATGACTCAGCAGGTAAAGGCCCTTGCCACCGAGGCGAACCGTCCAAGTTTGATCACCCGACCTCACATGGTGGACTGAAAGCTGTCTTCTGACTTCCACACATGTACCGTGGGGCATGCATACACTAAGATACATACACACCATATAATGATGATGATGATGATGATGATGACGACGATGGCAATGATGATAAAAATAATAATGATAATGAATAGAATACTTTATATTGCTCATTAAAATAAGAAACAATCATCTGTCCTAGGCATTGTTTTGTAGCTGGGTACAGTTGCTAGGTGTTCTTTGTTATAAAGGAAAGTTAGCTGGAGAGATGACTCAGTGATTACTAAGAAAGAATCCTTGCTGTGGCTGGAAGGTGGTGGCGCACGCCTTTAAACTCAGCACTCAGGAGGCAGAGGCAGGCGGATCTCTGTGAATTCAAGGCCAGCCTGGTCTACAGAGCAAGTTCCAAAGCTACACCGAGAAACCCTGCCTGGGGGCTGGGGAGTAGGTAGAGTGCTTGCTGCTCTTCCAGAGGAAGAGTTTCAGTTCCCTGCACCTACATCACATGGCTCACAACTGGCTGCAACTCCAGCTCCAGGGGGTCCAGCGCCCTCTTTTGGACTCTGTGGCACTCGCACGCTTTGGTTACAGAACATACAGAAATCAGTCTCCTACTGTTCAGGAAATTCTCTCCCAGCTGGCTGGCTCTCACAGTGCTGGAAGGTGCCGTGCAGACTGCCGGAAGAGAAAATGGTCTTCTCCAGGGTTGGGCTCTGCACCCTGGAGTACTGAACTGCCCCGAAAGTTACAGCCTCTGGGGCAATAGTGGCTTGATGGCTATGGGGTAACCAGTCGTTTTCTGTTGGACCTGAGACCCGCTCCACAGAAGGGAGTTTGTGTATGGCACTGTAAACCTGGCCAAGAGCCTATGACTTGAGAGATCATAGACCCTGATTCACTAAACGGTCATGTCAAACTTCCTTGCTAGTCTTTATGCTTATACTCACAGACTTTTGATGCTCTTCACCGTGATTGGAGGAGCTCCTTTTTGCAGTGGGCGGTGGTTAACACAGAGGCTCAAAACTGGTCGATATATGAGAACAAGTGACAGCAGGTGCTCAGCCTTGGATGGGTCACCTCTATCAATTTCCCACAGTTCAAGGCGTAGGAAACATCCCCAAAGAGTGGGTGTAGACTAAGAGCTGGAGGATGGAGATGGGAGCTGCTACATTGCTGGCTGCTGGACAGGACGGGACTGCTGTGGTTGCCAGCATACAACCTGTACAAGACTGAGGGAGGCCACATTCCAGCACGGATGGGAGAGGGCTCCTGGGGCCCCAACCCTAGCTGAGGAGCTGTTGGTGGTTGATGGCTTCTGAAGGAGAGCTAGTCACTTTTCTTTGCAATGTGGCCACTGAGGCGTTTCCCACTCCCAGCAGATGGCTCCATCGTAGCTATTGGCACATGATCAGCACTGCTGGACTGGGGGGGGGGGGGTGCTATTAATAGTAACAATAACAAAAAAGAGGGATATGGGTGGTGGGTCATTGGGGGAGCTGAAGATGGGGATGGGGTGGAAACAATCAAAATACATTGTGTATATCAGGTCCAAAGGAAACTCCATTGCCCCAAATTCTGACCATTGGACAAAAAGTGGCATTCCTCAGAACTCGTGAAGCAGTTTCCCTCTACCAAAGGAGCTGTGCCCCTCAGACAGAAGAGACGAGTGGCTATCTGTGGTGCCTGTTTGCATTCCAGATTGCATGCTGGCTTCCATGCTTCCTCAGTATCACGGGTACCTAGACCTTCACACACACCCCTCCCCCCAACCCCTCATTTCTCTTTATAACCCCCGCTGTTTGGGCTATGGTCTCTCTCTTTGTCCCTCTTTTGCCCTCTCTTTCTTGCCCACACTCTTTCTCTTCATCTCTCACCCCATTCCCTCTCTCTCCCTCTCTCCCCCTCTGCTCTGCTTCTGCTTCTCTCAAGGCAAGGTCCAGTCTGCTGGCCATGCTCTGTCTACTCCATGCTCTGTCTGCTCTGAACTCTTCCAGATGCCTCTGGCTGTTCTCTCCCTCATGTCTTCAATGAAACCCTTCTCTTCAGTCACGCCAGAGAGCCATCCTGTTGTCATTTTATGCAGTATACATGCGGATAAAAGTTTCACCCTATCTTTTTGTTCATTTTGATGAGCCGCATATTTGGGGACACACCTGTGACCACATGGCTCCGGCTGCTGAGGCAGAAGGATCCCAAGTTCAAGACCAGGCTATGTAACCCCCTGTCTCAAAAAAGTGAGGGTGGCTGGAGAGATGGGAGCTCATGACCGTCGGTAACTCCAGTTCCGGGGATCTGACACCTCATGGCCTCCACAGACATTGCATGCACGTGGCACACAGACAGAGGTGCAGGCAAACAGCCATACAGAGAAACTAAAAATAAAGAAAACCTTAAAAAGTATTCTAATTGGATTAGGAGGGTGGCTCAGTGGATAAAACACTTGCCATGCTAGCATAAAGACCAGTGTTCAAATCCCCAGGATCCATGTAAGCCAGACACAGTAGCCCCCATCTGTTATCCCAGTGCTCCTAAAGCGAGACTGGAGAGAGAGACAGGGGAACGCCCAGAGGCTCTTGAGCCAGCTAGTGTAGAGTACATGATTGCAAGCAAAGAAACTCTGTCTCAAACAAGGTTTAAGGCTCTTGCATGTAAATGACACCCCACTTACGTGAACATACATATTCACACATACACATCATATATAAACAAATAAACAAGCTTATGTGTTAATTATTATTTTGTGTGTATTGATATTTTGCCTATTGCCATGTGTGTCTGTGTGTGTGTGTGCGCGCGCGCGCACGCGCATGTGCACATGTACATGCATATGCACACCTGCCAGAGAAAGACATCAAATCCCTCTGGAACTGGAAC